AGGGGGGGAATATTAGAGGGGGGGGACACAGATGCTACTGCCCCAAAAAGTGTGGAAAAAGCTTCCAGGAGCCAAGGGCTGGGTGACAGAGAGGTCCCAAGAGCCACCCCCCCAGCATGAAAATCTCAGAAAAAGGCTGGAGTGAGGAGTCTCAGCATCACCCAGCTCTCGGATGCAGGCTTCGGTCCTTAATTGCAATTAAACGCATTATCAGAGAGAGCTGCTGGGCAGTGAGGGGTGGCTTTGGGACCTCTCTGGTCCCTTTTCCGCTGTGTTTAAGCTCTTGGCCTCAACGACTTCCTGCAGCGATGAATTCTGCAAGTTTAATTAAATGTTGCGAGAAAAAAATCCTTCCTCCGATCAGGTTTGAATTTCCTGCCCCATCCATCCCAGCTCCGGAAGCAGGACGGTCCCCGCACCCCCATTTTATTGTCTTTCAAGGGAAATAGGGTGAAATTCTGGGGGATGCTGGGTGAGACCCAAGAGCTGGTGGCTGGGGCACTGGAAGCTTTGGACAATTTTTTTCCCACTTGTCAGGAGCTGGTCCGGGTTCTCTGCTTCCAAGGTGGATGCATCAAAGCATGACGGCGGTAAACGCCTGCTGGGTTTTTGGGCTGGTATCTGAGATTTTCTGCAATCTCGGCTTGGCTGGGGCAGCTCCTCTCCTTCTCGTGGAGCGCCTTGAGGAATTACAAATGGCTTGAAGGGAAACAACCTGCTTTACAAAAAAAATAAAAAAATTAAAAAAAATTCCTGTGGTCCAAAGAAATATGCATTTCCCTATTGCTGTTAATAGCTCAGACCTTGATCCTCCTCCCAACACCCGTGCGTGCGTTCAGCAGCTTGCAGATGAGCCATCCCTTTGATTCCGGAGTGGGAACGTTTGCTGGGATGGTGAATTATTAAAAGTGGAAGATGCTTTTACATGCAACACGCTGACCGTGTTTTCCAACATGTTTTATCGCTTTCCTGGCACTTCTCTCATCTTGGCAATAAAAAATTCATTCCCAAGTTTGGAGGGAGGTTTGGAGTGGAGCAAAACACCTTTGGGCACAAACTCCATCCTTTTTTTTTTTTTTTTCCTACACCTGATTTCGAGTGGAATAAGACAGATCTCTTTCTGCCGGCTGTGCTGGGAAGCCTGTTCTTTTCCCGATCTCTCCTTTGGTCCCTGCTGGAGCTCCCCGCTCTCCCTTTGCAGCACAAACGTCGCCCAGTTTGAAGGTGTTGCTGGATTTGCTGCCATCTAATGGGAAAATTCAGCCTCGGCGACCTCAACTCTTATTTTGCAAAGAAATTAAAACGTTTTTCTGCACAACCCTGCTGCCGCTCGGCAAAGCAGCATCTTCCGCACATATTCCCGGCGAATCGAGGCGAAGGGAAAAGCTGATCTGATGGATGGCTTCAGCGGACGTGCGGCTCGGCACGGGGTCACGCAGCCAGGAGCCTCTGTGGACCCAGGAAAGCTGAGTTATAACAGAGTCAGAAACACGCAGAATGACAAACTTTTCTTTTTAATATCTACTGTTATTAGAAAACCAACTCTTGTTGTCACTATATTTTTGTAAAGCAGAAACTGGCTACTATTATGCTTTGCCTTAATAGACATATAAATAATAACTGAAAAAAAAAAAAAATCTGAGCAGAATTATTTCCCCAAAACCTGCATGGAAGCACAGTCTTTAAATACATCTGTTGAACTGCCAGGGATGCCACATTTCACCTCTAATATATAAAAATATTAAAATATAACACTCGCATTCTTATTTATTCAGTCTGTATGTCTTTCTCTGCAAAAATACGGTTCTCTGCATCAAGCTATAAAAAGGAAAAGAAACATTGAACCCGTGACGTGTACTTTTTTTAGATTTTTCACACTGGCTTTTAAAACTGACGCAGAACTTCATCAAGAAACGGTCTCAGCTGCAGAAGGGCAGGGTGCAGCAGCTTGCTTTTTCCTTCCCATCCTGAGATTTGCTGCAATAGTGCAAAAATCTGCTCTGGGAGCAATGGAAGGGCTCTTGCAAGTATTTTTTTCATCATATATCCCACCACCCCTGTGCTCTTTTCTGTTATCCTGGCCATGCTCCTGGGGCTTTCGAATTTATTTTGAGCAGTTTTTAGTAGCCATTACCGCTCAGTGCCACGATAAACTGGGAAAGGGCAAAGCCAGCTTCACCTTGGCTGGTTGGAGAGATTAAAAGCTGCATTTGGGACATCCCGCGTGCTTCGTCGGTCCAGATCAAATCCCTTCAGATTATAAAGCCAGAGCAAAAGTCCCAGCTGCAGAGCAGCACCCATGGCCCTAAACCCCCTTGTTTTATCCTCCAGCCTTCGGGTGACTCCTGCTATTCATTTATTTTATCCCAAGACTCAGTTTTCCTCCCTGCTGCTCCCAGTACCCTTCCAGCATCTTGGATCCAGCTGGGTTCCTTTTCTGCCTCTTTCCTTTGGCTGGTTTTTTATCTCCAAATGAAAGTTTCCCAACGAGGATTTTGTCCGTGTGCTCTGGGACCACAGCAGGAGACGAGCAGGGAGGGGACGGGGTGACAGCCGGCTCCTCCGCAGCGGCTTTTGCTCTCAGCATCCGCGGGGGGGTCAGGGCATGCAGCCCCTTGGGGAGCACCGATGGTGTCTGGGGGTGATTTTTCTGTTTTTCTGGCTGTCACCCATCACAACGGGGGGGTCTGTCCATCACCAGCAGCAGCCCTTTTTCTTCTGGGGTGCCTCTGGTACCTCCTCTGCCTTCTTTTTCAATTCATCTTCACGAACTTTGAGCAGCCTGGGAGAAAAAGCAGCAAATTAGCGGGGGGTTCCCCCCCTATTTTGTGTTGTTGGGCTATTTTATGGCTGAAAGAAGTTAGGAATTTCCTTGCAATGCTGGATATTCAGGTGACATCTTCCAGCACTTCTCTCCAGCACATCCCGGCCGTGCACGTGCCGCCGGGAGTTTTCCCAGCCATTTGGGCACACGGTGACAGTAACACACCAGCATTTGGAGTTTAAAAAAAAAAAAAAAGCAAGGAGGGAGCCTATTGAACTGGCAAAATCCAAGCAGGTGCCTCACCTGATGAAGCTGACCATGGACTCGCAGACGTTGTGACCCGAGGCAGCGCTGCATTCGTAAAACATGAGCTGATGCTCCTGGAAAACACAGAGCCCGAATAGAGATGTCGGGTTCTTGCATTGGGATAGCTTAACAGGGGAGTAAATAACCAAGGGACAGGCATGGTCAAGGGAAAGCAGGAGGGACTCGAGGAAATAAATAACTCAGTAACTGATTTCCTGGAATATGGGGTGAAATCCAGCTTTTCTGGTAGCTGTGATGCTGGACTTTTAATACAGAGGGAAAGGCTGACACTGCAGACAGAGTGAGATGCGATGCACTCTGCTTAGTGGAGCAAATACGGAGACCTAACAAGATGTTCCCGGGTCTTTCGTGCCTTCCAGTGATGGTTTGTAAAAAAAAAAAATAAAAAAATAATCTAAGCCCTTGTCCTGCTCTCTCCATTTGTAAAACTGTCCCAAAATCCCGTAAACTTTGAAATGAAGTTGGTCAAGGTGAAATTCTGCTCAATTTTTTTTAGCCATCTACATTTGAGGAGATTAACGGCACTCTAACGGTGTCTTTAAAACAGGAGAGGGCTCGATGGTTTTGTTATTTCCATGAGGTTGGGAAGGTCCGTGACACTTCACAGCAGAGATAAGCAGAGCTGGAGATGTTTTAATTCCCAGATCCAGTTCTGTGAATTGTTTTACTGGGGTGGTGCTGGGTCAAAACTAAAATGGTATCAGGAGACTAAGGCAGGGAATGGGGAAAGACGGGCTCAGAGGTCATTTTTCCACCCACTGATGCACAAAAGGTCAGTTAAGGGCTTTCTCCAGGTCCTCGGGCTGGTGGCGTCCACCCTTGGCTGTCCACCCCACCTACCTTGGCCAAGCGCTCCCCCTCGGCGGTAGGGACCTGTCTCGCTGCAGCACAGTCGGTTTTGTTCCCAAGAAGCAGAATAGCAACTCCATCCTCTGCTCCTTCCTGGGCAGTGAAAGAGGGGAGGGTCAGGAGCACATCTGGATCTCCCCTAATCACAGCTGGCTGCGGTGTCTGCACACCTCCTGGAGCACCGTGAAGGACGCCCATGGATTTGGGTTGATAAGAAAACTCAATTTTTAAATGAGTTTAGCAGAATTTAAGAAATGGTTTGGTTTTGGATTTTTTTTGGTTGGTTTGTTGGGTTTTTTAAATTTTTTTCCCCTTCAATCATCTGTGCGGGTCTATTAACAGGACAGAGAACTGGACACATTACCCGTGTAGTGAATTCACTTTGTGTTCAACTCCAGAAGATGCTCTCGCTGGGATTTACACCAAGCAAGGTGATATCTCGTTTTGTTCTAGCGTTTATAAACACTGATGTTGTACTTGATTCGAAACCTCTGACAATAAGTTTTTAATAAGACACAAATTACCTCCCACTTCCCAAGACTCAAAGTGGGCTGTTCTTGAGTTAAGAGTGTTCTCAAAGTCACTTTTAACATTTTTCCATTCCTCTGCAGTGCTTCTTCATTTTTAAAAAGTTGATAATTATCATAACGATGCTATCAAAGTATTACCCCAGGAAACACTACAAAAATGTGAAAATTGGCAGTAATTGAAATTAAATGCTCCAGGAAAAGGTATTTTCCAACCAGAAGTCCTTGCTCACCCCCAGCTGTCCATCCCTAACCGGTGGCAGGGGTCAGACGGGGAAATGCTGATCTCGGGGTCACCGCCAGCTCCCAGAATGTCCATCCCTAACTGGTGGCAGGGGTCAGATGGGGAAATGCTGATCTCAGGGTCACCGCCAGCTCCCAGACCTCGGGGACAGAATGAGGTTTTCCTGCTTCACCCACCTGGATGCAGCTCAGCCAGTACCGCACGTCCGAGAAGGAATACTCCGACGTGATATCGTACATCAGCACGACGCCGTCCGCCTTCCGGAAGAACTGCTTGGTGATGCTGCGGTACCTGCGTGCATTTTAAACCGTCACTGATCCAGGCTTCGCCTAGGACCGGTCTGAAATCCCAGTGGGAAAGCTGGAAACGCATGTTTGTAAAAAAAAAAGGCAAAACTCTAATTTTGCTCCTATCCTGATGGCAGAGCTGTACAAACAGCCTGAGTACTGGTTTTTATCTTAATGACTTCCTTTATTACTCTTTATCAGATCACACCCTGTACAGAGCCCCTCGTTAAACAGCCCCTCCTTGGCTCAGCAAAGCCGAGAACACTCATCTCCACTAAACTGCTGGAAAAAGGTTGCTCTCCCCAAGCCGCTAGCACAGCACCTTACCTTTCCTGCCCCGCCGAGTCCCACAGGCGGAGAGCAAACCGCTTGTTGTCCACGACGAGGTTTTTGATCTGATAATCCAGCCCTAGGAGACACAAGAAGGGATATTTTGGGACCGTAGGGTCCGTCCCTGCGATAGAGGGTGGATGGAGAGGGCAGAGGGTGCAGGTGGGATCAGCGGGCTGGTCCCAAGTCAACCTCCAGCTTTTCGATCTTTGATGGCTGGACGTTGGGACGGTCTCTGATTTCATAATGAACAAAACCAGGTTGGTGAAAGAGAAGGAGAATAGAGCTGAGAGGCAAAGCACAGAGAAAAGCACCAGGGCCGTTGGTATTGGTGCCGTAGTGAGGATGAGGAGGACCGGCGCTGCCTGCACATGAGCATCCAAGCGTGTGACACTGGGGCTCCTATCTGGCCCTTGGGGACAGGTGACATAGCACGCTTGGTGTGAGCTGTGCCATGGACGTAACGATCACCAGGAGCTTGTGTGGTGGAGGAGAGGGAATCGTGACGGTCACCCGGGCGGGAGCTGGGGGACACCTACCCACTGTGGCGGTGAGGTGTGGGTTGAAGGTGTCGGCGTGCAGCCGGTACAGGAACGATGTTTTGCCCACGTGGGAGTCCCCGACGAACAGCACATTGTAGAGGTGGTCTGGGTCCGGGGAGGCTTCAGGAGAACCCCGTGGGGTAGCTCCTGCCCCACCTGCAGTCACAGGAGAACCCCGTGGGGCAGCTCCTGCCCCACCTGCAGTCACAGCCCCTGGCTCCCCATGTCTGAGCTCTCCTTGCTGGCTTGCTTTCCGCCCAGCCGCTTGCTTCTTCTCCCACCGACCAACGTCAAGATCTTCCCTCTGTTCTCCCAAGAGCTGCCTTTGAGGCTGCATCTTGCTGTTGGCTGCATCCCCCAGCGAGCTGTCTCCAACGTCCATCCCCGACTGATCGTTCCCAGCATCTTCCTCCTGCTGGACCCCCATGCGAAGGGTTGACGTTGGTGGCATCTCTTGTTTGGGAGGCTTGGCAGATCCAGCAGCTACCTGCTCCGTTTCCACCATGTGCAGCAGCTTCTCCTCCAGCTGCCGGGAAGCAGAGTGGAGCCTCCCCTCATCTCCCTGTGCTGAGACCTGCTCCTGGAGCTGGCTTTGGGCTGCCTGTCCCGAGGCGCCCAGCTGACGCACATCTGGAACGAGAACATCCTCCTGCATCAGCGTTTCCAGCTCTAGCGTGCTGATTTGGAACGGCACCTCGGAGACCGGGGTGGGCAGCGCAGATGCACCAGCATCATGATCTTGCCTTATCCCTACACCCTGAATTTTGACTAAACTTCTCGCCCCTGCCTCCAGCCTCTCCCCCTGCATCACTTCCAGCCCTTGAGCTCCATCCAGAGGCTTCCCCTCTGCAGCATCCCTCTCTCCCTGTGCTAATTCCAGGGTCTGGGTATCCTCAGGGATTTGCCCATCAGGACCAGGGAGCGCTCCCAGCTTTGCTTCCAGCCCAGGACCCTTGGCAGCAGCAGCATGCTCAGGACACAATGCGGCCTCGGGTGGAGGGGACACACGGACACCCGCAGCCTCCTCCCACATGTCTGCCGTGTGAACTGCACCCAGACCTGCCTCCGAACCAGGAGCCCAGCTCTGCTCCCCTACCCACATCCCAGCTGCACCCAGGGGGGTCCCATCCGCCTCTGTGCTCCCTCCCGAGGGTGGTTTGAGCTCCTCTGCCTGCACACTTGCATCAGTGCTTTGGGCCTCCGCCACATCCAGGATCCCAGCCTCCTCCCCTGGCTGCACGCCCGCACCAGCCCCCTCTCCCTGCCCAGCTCCTGCTCCCTGGGCATCAAGCACAGGCTCCTCTGGCAGCTCCTGCTCACCCTGTCCTTGTGCCCCATCCTCAGCCTCCTCCTCGAGCTGTACGGCTGCACCATCCCCCTTTCCCTGGGGGGTTTCTGGGCTGGTACCCCCAAGCAGCTGCACATCTGCCTGGGCATCCTCTGCCTCCATTTCCCCTAACGCTGGTTTATCAGCCTGATCCAGGGGTTGAACATCTGGAGCCATGCTCCCTCCCTGCTCTGTCCCCAGGGAGCCAGCCTCTTTCAAGGGCTGCAGATCTATCCCCATTCTCCCTCTTGGAGCTGATTTGAGTTCCTTCACCTCTGCAAGGAGCTGCACATGTGCATCCCTGCTCTGCTCCTCCAGCACATCCAGGATCCCAGCCTCCTCCCCTGTCTGCACGTCCGCACCAGCCCCCTCTCCCTGCCCAGCTCCTGCTCCCTGCGCATCAAGCACAGGCTCATCTGTCAGCTCGTGCTCCTCTGGCCCTTCCCCATCCTCAGCCTCCTCCTTGAGCTGTACGGCTGCACAGTCCCCCCCTCCCTGGGGGGTTTCTGGGCTGGCACCCCCAAGGAGCTGCATGTCTGCCTGGGCATCCTCTGCCTCCATTTCCCCTAACGCTGGTTTATCAACCTGATCCAGGGGTTGCACATCTGGAGACACACTCCCTCCCTGCTCTGTCCCTGGGCATCTGGCCTCACTCGAGAGCTGCAGATCTGCCTCCATGCTCCCTCCTGGGGTCAGTTTGAGCTCATCCAGTTCTCCAAGTGGCTTCACATGTCCATCAGTGCTCTGGTCCATCACCATATCCAGGATCCCAGCCTCCTCCCCTGGCTGCACGCCCGCACCAGCCCCCTCTCCCTGCCCAGCTCCTGCTCCCTGCGCATCAAGCACAGGCTCATCTGGCAGCTCGTGCTCATCCTCAGCCTCCTCCCTGAGCTGTACGGCTGCACCATCCCCCTTTCCCTGGGGGGTTTCTGGGCTGGTACCCCCAAGCAGCTGTGTGTCTCCCTGGGAGTTCTCTGCCTCCACCAGTTCCAGTGCCTGAGCCTTAACTGGGAATAGCCCACACAGGTCTGGGCTCCTTGCAGGAGTCTCTGCCAGGGAAGGACCCATGGCAGCACCCATTCGCTCCTCCAGCCCTGGCTCTGCTTTATCACCCTTCTCCAGTGGTTGCACATCTGGAGCCAGGCTCCCTCC